CCAGGATTGTTTATATGTTTTGCGCCTAATAAGGATGGCTATTTTTGGCATACTTTTTATATAGACAATCAGCGCTTCTTCATCGTTAAATAGCCAGGTTAATCTTTACGAACAAATAAGAAATATTTATATCAAAGAACTGAAAAATTAATTGCACAAAAACAATAGTAATAATAGCACAAATCGCTTTTTTCTATTAATAGTAACTGACAATTGCATTTTGATTACAAAAATTACAGTAAAAGCAATGGAGTATTACCGTAATCAAAAAGATAATTATTACTGATAAAAGGTAAAATTTGATAAGAGATATTAAATTTGAAGGAAAGGACAAAAAATAAGCCAAAAAAGGCGAAGCAATATGTCAACTCCAAAGTGACACATTAGCTAAATAGAAAAAATTCGATTATATTCGCCCACTACAACGTATTTTCCCATTTCTCTTGCAAGTCTGGTCTTCGATGGCATTTTTGTCTCATTTTGGCATTAAGCACAACTAGCCAAGCTGCGTCCCACTCTTCGCTTATGCAAATTATAGACAGTCGCTTGTTTATTTCATTTTATTAATGATAATTATTACTATAGTAATAATTGTTATCATTATTATTTATTATTATTATTGTAATTATTATTATTAGTATTACTATTTTTGTAAATATTACTTACGCTTGCAATGCAAATATAATTAAAAAATATTATTGTATTTGCAATGGTAGTAATAACTAAATCAGACATTGTATTGGCTACAAATTTCAATTTTTATTAGATTTTCAATGGTATTATTATAATGCACAGATTAATCATCAAATAATTGTATATATCACCCAGTTTTATGGTTAGTTAATAATTGCTTATTTTTCATTGATGACATAATTATTCGAATATTTTAAAAATAATTTTCCAGAATAGTAAAGACAAAATCTTTTGTATTAGTTACTGTAAATATATTGATTAACATGTGAAATAAAGCTTATAATTAGTATTTATTCATTTATTTAATTTATCTAATTGTTGTGAAGAATACGATATTTTGACAAACAGATAGACTGATAATATAGGTTGTATTTTTATTTTTAAAATCAATTTTGTGCGAGGAATGCGATAAATGCATTTTTTTTAAATTCTTGAAAAATTTGAAAAAATTTATAGCAAATAAGGAAAGTTTACTTATTAACAAAACATAGACATATGTCATTGAACGAAAGAGTTTATTCAAATTTAATTTGAAATTTGATTATTTAAATTTCTGACGCTTAGACAACAAAATGAAATTATCCTCGAAGTTTCACATCAATGATTGCCTATTTTTAGGAAAGGAAAGAAAATTTTATGGTCAGAATTTTTTGCTAAAGTTATGTCTTCACGCTGAATAAATAATATCTAGCCAAAAAAGGCAAAAAAATGAAGATTAGGTGGAATCGGCCATTATTTGCATGTATTCGCCAGAAAATTTTCTACAAAGTGATCAAATTTCAACAAATTTTTGGTCTACTTTCGATTTGCTATTATTAACGCAAATAATATTATTATTAATTTTTGCTGTTACATTGTTTGATATTTGTAATTTTACAGTGGTGAGTTTAATTTCTTTGATTTTATGTTCTAATATTTTTAAATATAAATCTTTACGTGACATCTTCATTTATTTACGTTTTATGGATTATTAATGAAGTGGATTAATTGATTAGAAAAAGTTTTGCAATGAACTTTGAACCTTAACTGATATTAGTAAAATTAGTACAAGAAATTTAAAACTTAAGCAAAATTCTTTGCATAATTCATCAACAAAAAGTGAGATAAAATGCTCGTGAACTGGCCGTAAAATAATTTATGGAAACTGATTTTGAGGAATGTTAGAAATTTTAGACAAATATATTCTTGTGTAAATGTGAAAAAAATGCAAGTACTGAAATAACTTATTAATGTGATAAAAGGTTATCACAAAAAGTCTTTGACCATCTTATTTTCTTACTAATATTCTTCATTTTGCAGCTGGTATTTTTATATTAATAATTAATTTTAGGATGGGTGCAAGATCTCCATTAACTCCAATAGGTACTGACATTGAGTCAGTAATCATTGCTGTGGCTATGTTTATGACATGTGGCTTACTAATGTTTGCGTGTTGTTTCGTTGTCACGCAAATTTACGTCTGCTATAAACGTGGGCGTCTACTAAAGAAACGTCGTTCAAAGCAACTAGACGAAGAATTTCAGTTTGCTGTAATGCAAACTGATGCTATCAGTTTTGGTAATCATTCGCTGTAAACAAAATTTCTAGCTACTTTCATAGACTGCAAAAAATTTGCATAATATTTTTGAAAATTAGATTAGATGCAAAAAGGTGTACTCAAAAAAAATCAATTACTTTCATTGTAAACATAAAAGTAATTACTTTTTAAAAAAAAATTAACGCTATAAGTTAATTATTGTTTTTAATCTTGTAAGAATTAACTAATTTTCATTATTTCTGTCTAATTATTTCAAAAAAAATATTGCTAAAAAGTATAAAATATTATTTAAATATTTTTAATAAATATTTTGAAAATTTTTTGCTGTACTAAAAGTCACTCTTCAATTAATTCATTGCAATTTTTATTGAATTATTTTACAAGCATGGAAAGAATATTCATTTTTTGCTACATTTGTATTAATTATTTAAATTTTGTGATATTCAGTAAATAGTAAATGTTCACGTAAAATCCATTTAGGCTATTCATTGCTTTCAGAAAAAAGTATAAAACTACAGCGTGACCTTTCTAATTTATTGTCAATATTTATGATTTTGAAAAGCATTTATTATCCATCTAAAAAATTACAAAGTAATATTTGAATATTATTAGTATTTATTTTTTATGCAAAAATGCAGCCTATTCTAATTAAAGTAAAAGGTTAAGTATTACTTATGCCTCAATTTTTCCTTTTACCAATCGATTATTAGTTTATTGAATTTGATAATACGTCAAAGTCCTACTTGACGTAATTGTAAAAACTGACCAATTGCCCTCTATTATCATCAATCTCGCATATATGACTTTGTAAAATTATTACTGTTTGCTGTTAATAATTGATTCAAATTAGTGTGTAATTAATGAATGCAACTTTATAATTAGCAGTAAATGAATTTATGGGTACTTAAGTCAATGCAAATTAATATGTCAAAATTAATTTTAGGTTCAGAAAATTATTATTGTTATCCTAGACAGAAAACACTAATCCAACTGACCAATTGTCCACTATTATCTTCAATCCATCAAATGATCAAAACTACTCACATATTATCTGAAAAAGTTAAAAACAGCTCTAAGCGCAATTTATGATATCTTGATTTATAATAACTTTAATGAGAAGTGAATCAATTACTGAATGATTATTTGTATGTATATGTTTGTAAAAAAATTCAGCGTTTTACTTCAAATACCAAATTTTTCTTGTAATAAAGTGTTCACAATAAAATAATGTTTTACTTACGTGTCATCATGTCGTTAGTAATGTTCTACTTACGTGTCATCAATAAAGTGATAATGTTTGCGGAATTAGCTACTCACAAGCGTAAAAATGTTTGATAAGTGATAATTCTATAATTGTGCGTTAATCTCACTAATTTTTCATTAAAATAATTAAAATACAAAACAATTTATATTATTCTAATACTTGAAATATTGAATATTTGTGTTACTGTGAACTTTATCTAGGTTTTCAGAATAATTCAATCAAAAAAAAAAATTTATTTTCTTTAGAAAAATAATACAAAACGACAAACAACACAAACAAAACAACATAAAACTATGAATATCTAACGATTAAAATCATTTTTAAAAATTTTAAATTATCTTTCATTTGAGTTATCAAAAACAATTTTACAAGTATTAAGTAAAATTATTTTTGATTAACACATTTTATATATCAGATATCGCGATCACGTACAAATATCACGTTCTTCAATACACTTTAAACTGCATTTACTAAAAAGGCGAATAAGTATAAAAGCAAGAAGAGAAGTCTAAAATAAAACATTTTTTTGTGAATTTTTTAAAGAATGTATGTATGAGATTAATATTTTGAATACAAAATTTTGGATCTAAACTGAGTAATTTTTTCAACACAACTCGACTATACCACGTTCTACAAGAGTAGTAATTATTATTATCAGCACTAAAATTCTATCTGTTCAAATAGTAATCACACTTTTGGATGGCTTTATCCCTGCAACAAATCCAAAATTACTCAGTTCAATTATCTGAATCTTTTTTTCTAATTCAATATTTCCATACAAAAAGGTATACTTAAGTAAGTTACGATAACCAAATAAGATGATATAATGATAAAATATTAATATCAATTTTTGTGCACAATTACTTGGCAAATCAAACTTTGAGGATGTTCACAAAGCGATTCTCATATAAAGTAACCTCTATTTAGCAAAGTAGCATCAATATTGGGCTTTGGATCGTCTGGTAATTGGTATCTATTATGGGTGCTAGGAAATACAATAGGTGCCTCATCAAAACAAGAAAGTACTTGCACATCTGAAGTATCACATACAGAACTTGACTTCTTGCAATTTTCAATTTTTTGACGTTCAAGTCTGAGTAATTGAAACAGTCCTTCCGTATTCTTCTTCCCAAACTCAATGATTTTCTCATTAACTTTCGAGTTTTTTCCATTTCTCAAGAAATCCATGTAATCACTGATTCCTTTTGCATTTTCATCAGAATCCGACGATATTCCCAGAATATATGACCGTCTTGGTTTGGCATTACTTTTACTCAGTGGAATTTCTGTCGATATATTTGTGTTCAAATGTGGTATAGTTTTCACTTTCTTACTTAACAGACGTTCATCAAAAATTTGAGCTGATGAAGAAGCTGGCAATAACAAATTTTCTGTCTGAGCAGATAAAATTGATGTTAAACTGGTAGTTGATGAAGGCTGCGTTCCAGTATCAACAGATAGAATGTTATGGTTTTTCTTAATCTCACGTGCATTCTGGACATTGATAAATGTGGCAGATGGCGTCTGATAATTTTCAGAATTAGATCTTAATGATGATTGATTCTGGAAATTATCAGAAGCAGATTTTTTCTTTTCAGTAATTAAATGCTTGCCGCTTTTTACGTTCACTTTTTGACCTGATAACAAGTACTGGAACTTAGCTCGATTACTGTGTTGCAACAGTGTTTGAGAAATTTGTCGTGGAAGATTTGGTACTATATTATCCACAAACTGAAACAAAATCATTTTTTTATATTGAAGAAATATTACATAAAAGATATGTATGAATAATTAAATGTACACAGTATTTTCAGCCCTAAAATTAACAAATTTACAAAAATTTTTACAAATTCTCAAAAATATAAATAAAACAATGCTTTCAATAAATCTCACTTCCATTAATTCGTCTGATGCTTCATAGACGATTGCTTCAAGCAGAAAATCTGCGTACATATATCGTCGTTCATCATACAGTAACCAATCTAATGCTACCTGCGTACTCTGAAATTATTTGTAATCAAGTAAAAAATGCAAAACATTATCAAATTACTTCACAATACTTTACCAATGTTATCTTATGTATGTATGCATGTAGATTACTCAATTTTATAATTTTCAAAATTTAGCTTGATTATTGTATTGCTTAAATTGCCTGCTAAAATTAAGCAGTAATTAGCAAGTAGCAATTACTAGGCCAGAACAAACAGCACTTCCTTGAATGATCTGTAGTATTTTATTTTATTACTTGAAAATTCTGACAACCCTGAATAACCCAAAGTGACGTAAGCATGAATTTACAAGAAACTATAAATACTAACAAACTTGCAGTTCGTTGAAGCAGCTAATGTCTGCAGGATTCGGTACGCTGCATAAGGTCTTGCACACTACAATTTATTTTATGAACATAAATATAATTACATCTGTACGGATTTTCGTTAAACATGCACTGTTAAAAAATTACATATATATATATAGTATTATATAATTTTATCACAGTAGATATATAGATAATTGTATAATGAAACATACATAGATCATATAATTTTATCATTACTATATAATGAACAAATAGTAAAGCTTACTAATCGGTATGAGTTGCAGAATTTTGCTTGCTTAAGAAAGCCCACGGCATGATTGATAATGCTCAAAACACAGGGCGCAGCAACTTGATTCTTGGGATCACAAGCTATGTTTGCGCAGATGACTGCGTGATAGCTATTATCACAAGAGTGTTTTTCCAATAATTGTGATAAAGCCTTAAATTAAATTGATTGCAATCAAAAAAGTGATAATTTTAAAGCATTTTTTTTAAAAAAAAGAGATCAATTTAACAGTTTATATCAGGAAAGTTCATTTCAATAAAATGTAAGCTTCATGAAGGTCTTCTGAAATTATTAAATTTACTGTAAAGTAATACTGTATTATAACTTCTAGTCTTACCGCATAATTTTTAGAATAAAACATTATAGCGATTTTGAATTAGTCTATTTCAGATCTATCAGCTTTTCGGCTGATTAATGTCATTTTTTTTTAAATTTGCTTAATTAAAAACTATTAAATCACTATAATTGCTTATGCATTTCGAATATTCCAGTTCTTGTACATTTTATCCTAAAATTAGTTTTCAATCAGTGAGCGGTTCACCTCCAAAGCAATATGGAATGTAAGTTCACTTGCGACCACAAAAAATTTTTCGATTTCAGAAAATCGAACTTGAAGAATTCCTGTGTAATGAAATTCAATCAGATTTTTAGCGACTTGCGCGTTATTCTTAATTTTAATTTCCTGACGGTTTGAGCGATATTTATTGAAAAATCTGAAGAATTAACGAAATTAACATATTCAGATATACTTCCGATTTTTTTTGCCACTTTCTTTGTGATATGAAATGCTGCAGTTCACAATAATTTTCAAATAAACGCTGAGATTGATGGAATATTATACGCAAGATAGACTTCAACCATCACTGAATTGGTACTAATTTCAAAACGGAATTATTACGTCTAATTCTGAAACAATCGCCAAAGGTAATCAGAAAAAATATCAAAGTATAAACTTAGCATGAAATTAATCCTTTGTTTTCAGAATGATATTTAAAACTGTTTTCCAGCTTTAGCATCAGTTAAATTGTTAAACAATATAAATTTTCTGGAGTTTTTTTAAATTTTTTTCTTGAATTTTCAATACAAATACAGACAGTGTTGAGTAATAAGCCAACACTTGCGCATGCACAACCAACATTGTATCATCGTCAAAACGTAGCAATAAATTACGATCCATAGATGCACTTAATTCTTTCGTACAGTGATTTACCTTCGATGACATTATTATGGACTAAAAAATTTTTCACATCAAGTAACAACAATATTTAGGATAAAAATGACGTTGATTCTTGCAATGTATATAACTTTATGCATTTTGACAATAACTTTGTAAATTTATGGATTGGACAAATTGGATTTAATCTTTCAGAAAATATTTACAGCATAAATTTAGAACGCATTATACTAATCTCCTCTCAGATTTAAAATAGAGTTCAAAACAGGATACCTTCTTGCATCTTTTATTTGCAAGAAATATCTTGCACGAGATCATTATGCTGAACACAACCAATCGACCGCTCCCTAAAATGTCGCTTCTTGCGTACCTCCAATATTACCATGTCATTTTATCAATAATATTTGCATATGCAAAATTTGTATCATATCTCAAACTTCTCATTGTTCAATAACTTTAAAATGACGTAATGTAAAAATATGTAAAAATTTTGTTTAGTTTCTATATTTTCAAAATTGTATCTGTCCAAAACAGCAACACAATTTAAAAGTACTTTATGAAATACAAAGACTTACAATTAGTAGTGCCAAAAATAATACCAACAGTATTTTTAAATCACTCTTACATTTTTGGCATTAATCACTATTACAGTAGTCAATAAATATTCACCAGAAAGTACACAAAACCGGAAGTATAATCTTCGAGTATAAACACAATGAACAAAATAACTACTCAAATACCATTAGACACCAATCGAGATAACTGCGTATTGTAGCTTTTCTTAATTGCTTTAATTCAGAAAATTATAACTCTATTATTCTGCATCGTTGATACCAACATACATTTTAATCTATTTACATCTAACTCTAGCGCCATCTCTAAACAAATACCATTCTTTGATTAAGTACGTAAGCCTTGAAATTATATCTGCATATGATTTTTTTTGTTACATCTATTTGAGAGCGGCAAAATTTCGACAGCAATATTTTAGGCATAGTGGTAGAAAAAATATTGTGCAACACACACTGAATCGAAAATCTGCAACACCAATGATCGATCAGAACTTAGAAAAGACGTTTAATTCCATCAAGATGTACATGTGGAACCTGGACTTTGTTGATTATCACTTGATGGAGAGAAGTGTGATTCAACATGGCCACGACAATATTTTGTTTCACAGTCCTAAAATAAAAAACTTTTAAGCAATGAAAATTGTCTTGTCTAAAACTGCCTTTGAAAATTTTCCCACAGTGAACACAACATTAAAAAAATGTATTGAAATGCAACCATACATAATATACACGAAAAAAAAAAGAAAACAGAGTAAAGAAATAAACTTTTTTCTAGCACATATTATCTAAATGTATTGCTCAAAAAAAAAATCCATACGATAAATAACAGATCAATGGTTTTAACCTCAAAATAACAATAAAGACGAGAAATATAATAAAAGCTTTCATGAAGATTACTAAAAACAACTGTACTGACTAGGATGCCATATGTAAGTGCCAAAAACATACAGAATCACCGCTATCATTGCTAGAATCATCAGACCACTTTTTTTGCTTTTTGAATATGCAACAACATTTTGATTTGTTCCTCCCTAGCAGTTCGTTGTCTACCGTATCTGCTGCCCACTGTACACTGCAAAAAAAGTACTAAGTGAGCTTGCTTAGATTTCTGATTAAAAAAATTGTAATAAAAAATTTTATCACTACAAAAACGAGAACTGGCCAAATTCTTACCGAGGTTCACGCGATGTTATAGGAGAAAGAGTGAGTCGTTGCACTTCAGGCTGAAAAAACCGGAATTATCACACACTCTTTTGACCCTACTGGGAGTAATAAATTAAAGTTTTTCATTGATCACGCAATTTGATGGAAGTAACAAAAATGCATTCAAGTTTTCAGAAATATTATAATCGTTACAACTTATTCAAATACCACGGTAATATCGATGATAAATCCATTGTTCATTAAAATAATTATTATAACAAGTTATGTGGTAATAAAATTTTTTTAAAAATCATTTAAAAAATGGACTAACGACAGGATCGATTTCGCTTTCAACCACAGAGATCGTAGAAGAACTAACTGTCGCAGATGAACGATTCATTGCAGTATAATGAATCTCGAGGTTTTTAGTAAGGCCTAGTATTTCTGATTACTGAAAGGCAAATAGTCATACTATAATTCTTGGAATTACAAATAACAATAAGCGTGAAAAAGAGCAATAGCAGGAAAGATCCCACTAATGTTAATTTGACTGGTACAAATCTTATGAGTAATTATAGTAAATAGCAATAAATAATAAAATAATAACCTATTACCCAAAGACCAATTAGAAGTCACAAGAAACCTCCAAACAGCATCGTTATATGAGCAATGATTGATCGAAAGATACAAGAAAGTTGCATTTCGATGCAAGAAAGAATTTGTGCTATGATGACACACGTGAAATGAAATATAGTGGTAGGCTTGTAAGAATTTGTGGTTCATATATTTACGTTATATCTTTTTTTTACATTTTGGTGTTGTGAAGAGGTATTTTTGAATCTATTTTAGCATGGACTTACTTAAGTCTCAACATCTTTTACTTGAGTGTTCTTAGGCACGTGATTCATTGCTCATGCAAAAATATGCTCAGAAACTTCCAAAATAATCTAACCTATAAAACTTGTAACGTATATATATGTATACGTCATATGTATGTATAATTTCATAGTTTAGTTGATTATTTTGGAATTTTATTTTTATTTTTTACTTCGTGTATCTAATACATGTAATATACTATTTTCTTATATGTGCAGAGTTTACTTTTGATAAAGGTACTTAGTTGGTATGGGGAAAATACATTATTCCAAACAGCCAGAGAATAGTACAAAGTCATGCAAAGCACGTGGATCCGATCTTCGTGTACACTTTAAGAATACCCATGAAACAGCTCAAGTTATTAAACGTATGCCATTGAAACGAGCCATACGTTTCTTGCAAAACGTAAAAGAAAAAAAGGAAATTGTACCATTTCGAAAGTTCAATCATCGTGTCGGTCGAAAAGCACAAACTAAAGCGTGGGGACATACTCAGGGTAGGTGGCCCAAAAAGTCAGCGGAATTCCTACTGCAACTTTTGAGGTTTGTTACTTTACAATTTTTTGTGATTAAATGTAAGACTTATCAGTCAAGTTATTCATTATAATAATGGTGATGTGTTCACAGAACAGCTCCGTTTGAGTTAATAATGGTTAATATTAAAGTACATCATTTCCATTTATTTAGTTATGAGCGATCCTATTATAAAGAATCATTTGCATTCAGACTTTATATTTACTTTAACAGTTTGTGGTTTCAGTGCTACTTCACAGCAAATGGTTTCTCAGAAATCAATCTAGTTAGATGTGCTAAAAATTATATTAATTGGGAATGACGTTTAGACTTAGTTTGTTTTTCTGTTTCCTTTCAGTTTGTTACTAAAGTTCACACCTAAAACATTTTTTTGCATGGTATGTTCATACTTTTCAGTAATGAATTTGTTCATAAAGTCATTGTCTTTCAGAAATGCTGAAAGTAATGCCGAATATAAAGGATTAGATACTGATCATCTTGTGATTGAGCATATTCAGGTGCAGCGTGCTCCAAAAGTACGGCGACGAACTTACCGTGCGCATGGCAGAATAAATCGTAAGTTGTAAAATTTGAAGAGTTAGGACAACTTAATAATGTTTGAATGTCTGATCAGAATTGTTTATAAAAGTGCAGAATTAGGTGCGAATTGAAAAGAGAAATTAATAGTTTACTTCGCATTTTTTAATAGCAAATTAATTTAATTTTCTTGTTTTTTGTCTTTCACTTTTATATTCATTCTTTTCAGCGATAAGATAATAATTATTTGCGTAGAATGGGGAACGTATGATTAATGCCTCTGAAGTGTCACTAAATAATTAAGATCATTGTAAAATGAATTAATGGATACTAACTTTATTAATATAATATTTTTCTAGCTTATATGTCATCGCCGTGTCATGTAGAAGTGATTTTGACGGAAAAAGAAGAAGTAGTATCAAAGCCAACTGATAATGTCGGAAAAGTTAAGAAAGAATCAAAGAAAAAACAGCGTCGTATTTTGGCGCGTGGTGATTACTAACTTGTTTTTTTTTATTGTTATCAAATTTTGGATAAATATGGACAGAAGCGTATGTATTCGATTCTAACAATTTTGATAATTCTTACTGGAACAAAAGCAGTAGTGTTCTTGATTTTACATATCTATAACGTCGCGCATTTAAATGGAGAACTGTTTCACTGATGACGTTTGAAATATTTTCTGCAGAGCATAGGGAGAAGTCATGACTCTTTCAGTCGCAGTTGGGCAGCGTAATGTATCTTAGAGCCATTGGTAATCAGCTAAGTTGCAGGTTACTAGTGTGTGGTTTTGTATGGCCCTTAACCCCTTTGTAAATTTAGTCTCTGACTAGATAGTGCTTGTGAAGATTTGTTACGTACGTTAAGAATGGAGATTTAGACCGGATGTTTAGTGCTCATTACGCGTGAATAGATAAAGCTTACAAGCGTGCCGAAAATTAAGTCATATGAAACCGCTGCCAAAGCGTGACAGTTTCACTACTGTTATGGGTGACATATGCTTTAAAATGCGTCAAAATCTAGACAGGATACATTGATATCTAAAATCGGGATAAATCTCTGTAGCCATTCCAATGCTACTTACGATTTGTTGTGTATTCTAATACCATGGATAGGTAAACGGGATTTATTTCAAAAAACAAATAATATTGCATAAAAAAGACACGAAATGAATTATCCTGGTAAATTCAATCACTTGGGATTAAGGTACACTACATGGTCAGCTCCATGATAGCGTTGACAATGTCATTGTCTGCCTTCTTTAATGCCTTGATGGCGCGGTTACGAGATACGTTTGCTTGGGAGCAGACCTGCAAGAATTGAAAACGATGAGAGAGAAGAAAATGGTATGTACACTGCATTGCAATCTATTAGAAAACAAGAAATAGAAACAACGGCCGGGACTCCGTCTGAAGTTCTCTAGAAGGTGTTTCTACCAATAAAAATAAAAGCTATTCTAGCATACACTAACAAGTTAACTAATTAACCATACTTATACTAGTGTCTGAAACAAACCAATTCAATATCCTTCTCTTCAATACCAGTAGCATCAACTTCACCGTCATCACCACTTTCTTCTTCCTGTTCAGTACGCGCAACATTCATACGTCCACCTTGGCTACTGAGTTGGGTATCACTCGGTTTCAATCGCTCTGCTGCAGCAAATCGCGCATGTTCACTTAAATCTTCAATCTAAAAATCCACAAAGTATTGCGATGTGAATTGTAAAATCAGTCATAAAGATAAAATACCCGAAACTCACTACGTATTGATATGTAGTACATTTCCTGATAATATGGCACACTTCTACTGGGAAACGGGTCCTTAGATAATACGATACAGGTTAAAATTGGTAACATTCAATTATGAAACAATTTAGTTTAAAAAATAAGTCAGCATTCAAAAATAAATGACATCAAGATTTCGCAAATCTCTAATTAATAAAATCACAGGCTTTATGAACTATGAGAAGCACCTTAGCTTCTCCAAACACTATGTATGTGTCTGAACCAGGACTTTTGAATACATCTGGTTTGTTGATCACGAAAAGTATATTTTTCGATTTTCTGATAGAAACACGAGATACACCATGTACTGGTTTTAGACCCAATTTGCTAAACAATCTACGCGCTTTCTTTTCGGATCGCGACTGCTTGCTCATTTTGTCACCAGAGACCTGTACATAAAAAACTGACCTCACAATCAACAGGTTCAAAGAAAATTCATGACAAATATGAATATTAATCTTTTATGAGTTGAAAACACCGAATAAATTACTCAGAATAAAATGCGTACTACAAAGCACACGTAACCTGGTCAGACAGTCCAGCTGCTTCGGCAACTTTCTTCTGAGCTTCTGTGACTTCTCCTTCATTTTCATCATTTTCAACATCCGATCCTTTCTGTCCACTTTCCTCATTTGCTTCATTTTCCGAAGCTTCAGAAGAAGTATCCTCAGCTACTACCTTAATGATTTTATCAAGTTAAACACCATAAAAAATGTTTGCAGAAAAAAAACTTGAAAAGTAACATATGTACACTAATGCAGCCTATTATGCTTCTTTCTAAAGAAAGAAAAATGCCAATAAATCGAATTAATTTTTACGCAAAATACCATCAACGACCAACTGCAATAGTTAATGACATCCAAATCTAACAGTCATCAAAATTCATATAAGTACTGCTAAATAAGTCGACAAACTTATGTTATAACAAATACATCACATGCATATTAAGAACCTCTGTGAAAAGTTTGAAATACTGAAAAAGAAATACCTTTTTAGATCCTTTCTTCTTTTCTATTGCAACATCCGCCATAATTTGTGAATGAGTACTGCAAATTCAATAACCTTGTATCAACATTACATTCGGCATTCTCAATATTACACAACTATCACTGATCTCTCCTAATGACATCAGTCAAGCTACACGTCGTTTCACGAATAATTGAGCCGCTCTAATAATTGAGAAGCAATGCTATGTCAACACGTGAAACTTATATTTCCTCACATACTTTCTCAATAAATGTTAGCTCGTATGCATATCAGTTAATGAATGAATTACTTAAATGATAACAAGAGAACATTCCACGCTAATCTGATAATTGCTGAAACAATTAGCAAAACAAATAACTTATGCAACCAATACCTAAATCTCTCTATTCTACCGCAACAAATAAAACGTAGTATCATTGTATTATTTCCAAATAATTTGTGTTCCTCAACAAGTAACTATATGAAAATTATCGTCCACATTTGCATCATTTAGCATGAAATTGCGAATTGAACTTGAATTGCTTACAGCAATAATTAGTTGTTCGTCTCTTCTGTTTATCTCTCTTTGACCTTATCATTCGTCGAATTCGCATCTCTTCTACTTCCTTTTATGATTAATTCTTATTGTCTAGCGAAATGTTGAGCAGGAACAGGTTTGTGTGTTTACAATTTAACTCACTAGGTCACTCTTTTCGTTGTTACATTTTTCAAACTTCTATTCCTTTAATGAGTTCTTCTCTTGAAAATTTATTTTATTTTTGAGATTAAAAGAAATTTATTCATTCAAATATTGTAAAATTATGCAAATATGAAATTACACTATTTCATTCTTTAGTAATATTCAATTATTATGCAAAATTCTTGTATATAATTGAATTATTCAACTTTTGCATGTAATGAAATAAAGGTTTGAATTTGTTGTACTTTACTGATATTCATAATCAAAATAAACTTAATAAATTAAATAATTTTAAATTTAATAAATTATGGTGTTTACATGATTAATTTATTTATATGAGCATTGTCTGGATGAAGTCAAATTAATCTGTGAATTCAAATATATATATGTTTATAAAATTTTTATTTATTCGTTGAAAATGTTTACCATCAATTAAATCAAAAAATGTAAGGATAATTTTTCTATTTTGTGAGCTTTATGCCTTTTATAGAATCAGATATGTTAATGAATGATTAATATATTGTTATATTATTTTATTTCAGTTATGGATAATAATTTGCATGATTGTAAAACGTGTTAATACTGATGATGATTTATGCCGTTCATTTAAAGTGGCTTGCGATCTCTTATGGGAGAATGCTTTTAATGCTAAATGAGCACCGCAGAAATCAAGTTTTATCTATTATATCTCTTCAGAAGTTCAATTTTTTCTTCATTTTCAAATACATAGCATTCTATGATTTCATCCAAAGTTATTATATTAAGTTTTTTTATTATTTTAATAATTTTTTCCTGTGTTATCTGGGAAGAAAATATATGTTGTGTGAATTACTGTTTTGGATTTTTTTAGATTGTCTTAAACTTCGCGCTTCATTTCAGCGATTTATGTAATCTAAGTTTGCTTCTTACCATGATGATAAAAAAAATTGCATCAACGAAAATTCGATTTTTTTAAATTCAGAAAACCAAGGTTTCTATAAATGTACAAAAGAAAAATTGTTGATTCAAAAAGTGTTATTATGTAATTAATGAAAATATAAAGTGTGACGTTTTAAATATTTCCTTTGTTCATAAATACTGGTTTTGATAATTTATACTTTACAGGTAGCACTCGTATGCTGTGAATTTTTGCGTACGAATAAGGAGAAAAGGAACAATGCTTTGGAGTGAACGATATTGGCTTCCAAAAGGTGTTTCATGGAATGATTTGGAATCTAATGAAACTGTTCGATATCCTGACATTTGGGAATTAGTTTATGCAATGAAGTATGCTTTGAAGTAAATTTAGTCTAGGGTTAGGCATACTGTTGAAAAGATTTTAATATCAGCATTTTGTTCTTCGATTTGACAGAATGAATTATATCAGTTTCGTTGTGCATTATTAAAAATGGAGGAGAAAATACAATGATGTGTTATCGAGCATAATTTTCAGATATAGTGTGGCATTACTATTACTCAGAATTGCTTGTGAATGCTTTATATTTCTTCCAATTTGTTGTTCATTTGGTTTGGTTAAAGAACCATTATGGATTCGTATGAGAGAACATTTAAATATTTGGCAAGCCAATAAAGGAAAATTTAAAAAAATGTCGGAAACAATTTGGCGATTCCTATTTTATTTTTCTATTTGGATATACGGTATTTCTAAATATTATTTTAGTTCATAACTTTGGTAATTCTTATGCTGTAGTCGATCTCTTAATTGTATCTGCAGTATCACATTTAACAGAAACTGTAAATTTTTTGATTTCATCAGTTTACTGTGAATTTTTAATTTTTGTCACTTATTTGTGTTGTTAATTTTCATTTAACTAATGCTGTAAAGCATACTAAGTATGAAATTATGTTATGCCAAAAAATGTCAATCGATGATTTTCAGGGCTTTTTGTTTTACATGATCAGCCACAATTTTATGATGTAACAGAATGTTGGCGAAATTGGCCTCGTCATGAACTAAATAGTAAAGTTTGGTGGTATTATGTGATTGAAACCTCTTTTTATTGCTCGCTTATAATAAGGTAACTGTTTGATGCTTAAATATTTTTGTTATTATAGCTTTATAAACTTTAATCAACTTTATGTTCAATTCAAAATTTAGCTAAAAAATTTTTGACAAAAAAAAGTTGCATGAAAAATAAAGCATATTTCATGCCATATTATTTTAGTTCATTTACATTCGACATTCGACGGGCTGATTTCCTTCAGATGACGTTCCATCATTTAATCACTATTATACTTTTGTTTTTAAGTTTTGCTATGAATATGGTTCGGGTCGGTACGCTTGTACTTTTTAGTCACGATTTAGCTGATATTTTTCTGTTAGTATTCCACATTTGGTATGGAATATGATAAGATATTCCTTGTTAAAGTGTTATGAATTTTATTATTCATCATGAGAGACTTATATAAAATCATATAGTTTATGAATCTATGAGTCACTGAAGCTCAAAATTTAGATTAAGCAAATAATTTTTCTTGTATTTATTTGTTTTATTAGCTATTATTGACCGCTATCAAACAATTTTTGCCTCAATCATTAGGATAGAAGCGAAATTTTTTCTAAAAAAACTTTGGAATTATTCAACAAAAGTGTTTTCACTCAAAGTACTTTTAATCATTAATAGTGATTTTTCAGTGAATTTGGTAAAATTTGTCGATATGCTGGTTGTCAATCAGCGCTAACTTGCATTTTTTTAATGTTCACGGTGGCATGGATCGCCACGCGTCTTATATATTTTCCATTCTTTATCATTCGATCAGTGCTATTTGATGCACCTCTCCTAATACAGGTACAGTTTGTAACAAGTTGATTTTTTTCTACTTCTATTATTTTCATTTTCTTTAAGGCTGTTAAAAAAACTCGTTCTGGTGACTTTTTTTGATGAAAGTGTTTGACGAACTTATTTTGATGACTTTTAAATTTTCAACTTTTTTCAAAATTATATTGGTAGAGTACATTATGCAATTTTTTTAATAGTTACTAAATGTATTCTTAAGTTTATAGTTGATTTATTGAAAATATTAGTATATTTAGCTAGATTAAATTATGGTAGAACGTTTTACTGATGAGTGTTCTTCATTTTAAGGCTGATTATCGATGGGAAAATATACGTCAGGTACCAATAGTTCCTCGATTATTCGTCGTAATGTTGCTCTTTTTGTTAATTTTACATATTTATTGGACTTTTTTAATTATCAAAATTGCAATAAAGTCAACGCAGGGCAAAATTGACGACATTAGAGAGGATTCAGACGATGAAATATCATCTACTCCATCACTGGAAAATGTGAATGGAGATGTGAAAAATGATGAGAAATGGAATAAAAAAAGAGATTGAATATCTATCTCTTGAGCTGTGATGTTCAGAAAATATTGGAGAGTCATATCTCCGGTTTTTAACTAATTTTTTCAAACTTTTTTAAAAGGATTTGAAGTTCGATGAAGAAATTGGAGCTATAAAAAACATGAGAATACATGTATGCAAATTTGTTTTAATGTCACCAAACTTTTTATAGTAAATGAGAAATTATTCTCTAAAACTTTTAGTATATTTTTCTTAAGAAGTAAACGCATTCCCCATTTTACACTATATTGTACTAAAAAAATGTAAGGAAGAAAGAAGATGTGTTTATGTGCCTTTTCCCCAATCAAAATTTTTATATACGTATCAAAAATTTCGGTCATTGTTATACGATTTTAATTTGAGCACTCTGCAGTTTATACCTTCCAAATTTTGCTATTATCACTTTATATTCCTATAAAAATACCAGTTACTGAATATATAATTGGAGTAAATATGGGAAATTGTTAGTTTCTTGATCCAATTTCTTTTTTATGTTACGAAGAAACTGTAATAAATTTTGCCCGGTTTTCATTTTGATTTATTCTACTTCAGATGATAATTGAAGGATCGAAAGATATTGTTAAATGAGTTTTATTGAGGTAGTAATTTTGAATTCTTCATTTTTTACGTTTCGTTTCTTAAATTAAATCGTTACTTTTGACTTATTTCTTCAAAGTAATTGAATATTTAATAATTTTCTGAAAAAAAATTTGCTGGAATACTCTGTCTCTTGCTGCCATATATAAATGTGATTAATTTCTATCGCTGATATTTTGAACTCTAATCCTAAAGCCTGCTATTCTGCCAGTTATTATAAATGTAAATGTCAAGTCTTGTGCCATTCTTATTCTTTAATTAAGAAATAATCCAATTTTAATTATAATTTTTCTTGTAGTGAGCTTGTTACCTTATAATTTATCTTCAGAATGTTGTAAAATTATGTTGGTAATTAGATTTGAAGCCAACATTATTATATTTATAGCCATGAATTCTCTTGAAATGTTATAGCAAGAGAAGATATATTATTGTTGAATTATGCTTCTAAAATCATTTATTGAAGAATATTGATGGGGTATGTTCTAATTTTTATTAATTTTTTCACTTCTAATGACGTGTACTTATTTATTATTTGTGCTGCCCACTGATATACTCAAAATGAACATTTTTTATAATTACTAATCTTCATTTACCTAACTGTTTTGATTTAAAATTATATTACGCAGCGTTTATTTCTATCTTTAATTGCTTTGTAGTTTTAAATAGAATAATTTGTACCGGGTAAAATTATTTTTGGAACTCATTACAAAAATTGCTTGTTAATTTTTCATAAGTTTTTGCAGTCAATTTGAAGAAAATAATAGTGAGAAAAAAAAGTGAAATGAATTCTGAGAGTTCATTGCTCATTGAAAATTACTTTTGGTAGAAACTGAATGCATATAATAAACAATATTACAAGAAACTGTGATATATCGAAGACATAAATAGTCATTTTATAATACTAAAGTATGGCAATAAAGACTTAGAGTTAGTTTTTGAAGTTCAAAATGATTCAAGTACTAGTGTTTTCTAAGGTAAACGAAAATTTTGAGCATGATATTACGGTCATTACCTTTATTTTAAGCTCAAATTCTAAAGTAGTTACGGCGAGTAATTGGCAGGTGCAATTAACTTAGCACTTTAATGCTTTTAATCATTCAGAATCTGAAAATATTGTGTATTTTGAGGCAGATTGCTTAATGTTGAAGTATAAAAACTTGCTCGATTATAAATTCTCATACTTAATACTATTGCTGAGTAATTTCAGTTGTTAAAGCTTTGTAATTGCCTGTTCCGTACTTTCCATTCATCATATTTCAGTTTTCTTATTCCTTGATGTCTTTGTTCAAATTTATATTCTGACTATATCTCTGATTTGATTGACTCTATCTTTCATTTTCATTGTTGTAGCGCTAATCTAGCAATGAAAATTTGTCAAGGAGAGTAGATTACAGAACAAGAAAGCAAATTATACAAAAGTTTGCTGTATTATTGCTTCCAAAAATTTTATTGTAAACAAATTATTATAGAAAAAGCTTGATAATCATACTCTGTGATTGAACACTTCTGATTTATACGTTTATTACGTATTAAAATGTTCGTGGAAGTCACAAAATGGGCGCATTGCTTGTTGACATAATTGTAGAAATTTTTGTATAACATAATGAGACTCATTCATTCTTGGATTAATTAAATTATTGGCTGAGCAATTAATGTTGTTTATTCAGTGTTAGAAAGTCAAGTTTAGTAAGAAAAAATGCGTCAAAACCATTCAGCTGTATGTCAGTAGCACGCTCTAGGAAACCCAAGTTAATAGAAGTAATTCCCGAATACATGCACTCTTATAACTAATTTTTGTGAGATCAAAATATTATCATATCTACCTATTAATATATGGCACCTTATCTGTTTTTGACGAATAACAAATTCATTCAAAAAGATTATTTTGGTAAATAATGAGTGATTTAGATGCAGTAGTTTATATCTTTTGTTCTGTAATACATCCATACATCAACTCATTCTGTCACTTTTTACTATGTATTCATGACGTTAATCAACTCGTATCAGTGCTGAAATACCGTTAAATAAAAGTAGAGATATGAACTGATACAAACTCTGACCATGATAAGTATTTAATTGCTTAAGGCAATTTTATGCATCAAGAATCAGTTATTAGAATAAAACATTCCACAACTATGCATTTACAGTTGAAGCATTCAAAATTTGTACGAGAAATCCTTTCAGTGAATATCTACGTAAATATTTAGCAATAAAAAAACTCAAAAATCTAAATTAAAGAAGTATTCAATGATAAATCTGCACAGAAATACAAACTGAAAACAGAATAATGCAAAAACTGGGTAAATAGTGATAGAAAGATACAAATCATAAACCTTCAAACATGTTCAACAAACACTATACAGACTTAAGCTACTGATGAATTATTTTTGCACTTTTGCATCTAAACAATTCAGTCATATGTTCTGCCCCAAGGAATTCGCAAACAATCCTCAACGGTTTCATTTTCGTTTAAATTGCCAAACGTTTCAACGAGTTCATCTTCAAGAACTTCTTCTAAAGATAACTGGGGTGTAGCCTTTACAACTTCTTTATCCAATGTCTTGTCGTCATATTCAATGATTTTATTGCAAAACTTCATATTTTGCAAAATGTTTTTCAGAGTAAAATGCTTATCCAATAATGAATGTGAGCAACTGAATGGTCCTATTCGCTTTCGTAGCAACTGACGGCATGAAGCCACAGAACCTTAATTGATCCACCTTTTATATGTCTTAAAAAATATACTGAAACAAAATTGTTACAGCAACAATATAAATAAGTTAATCTACCATATTTATATACATAGTATTCCCTATATTAATTCATGAACAATGAAAATATTTAACTTGTCTATTTGCAATTAATATTTATTAATAGTAATTTTAAACTTGTTTTTGTAACTAGCTTTAATGAGTACAGTGTTCTAAAATGCTCACATTACACAAATGTTGCAGTTTGCTAAAACAACTAACTTTTATAAAGATATAAGAAATAAATTTCTACATGAAGCAGACAACGGCGTTTTAGATTTTATTATCAAACAAATATAATAACTATACAAAATAAACAAACAGTTTACCAAGAGAAAGTGCAATCTCATTGATGAAATCTTGTAAAAAATCATCATTACTGCACACACAATGCAAACTGATCGTGAAAAAGGGTAAACTAAAGTGTAGCAGTTTAATGAAATATATCACAGGTGAACCTAATACTTTTGGTCTTGGTAACCCCTGAAAATATTAAATTGATAATGAGAGATTTAAAAAAGCATATTGAAAAAATTGGATAAAATCAATAAAAATTCTGACCTTACAAGCCAGCTCGAAGGCTTCTTGGCTTTCTAAATCAACATTTGCCAATTCAAAAGCTAATTTTTTATAATGAGCTTGTAACTGAAGCAGAAATTTGGTCATCTGATGATATGTAATGTGTTCTAAAAATAGATCTAATAGGATGATATTATTTTAGAAGGAATAATTTGAATCTGTTGTTTAGTAAGATCATCATGATCACTTGACGATAATCTACTTTTTGAAATGTGTGGAAGTGCACAAATTAAACTTGAAAAAGTAGATTCATATGATTTTTATCTTTGAAATAAAGTTAAAACGAATTGGAGAGTTACGAAAAGCCACTACAACGCCTTACCATAACCATATTCCCGATTCACTTTTCCACGAATTTTATTCTGAACAGTTCCCCGACCAAACTGCCCTTTTAAAATATATTCGCTGACCCACACACGATCACGTAAGTCCTCTAATAAGTCGCAGCCATCATTGATACCCAATACTATAAAATAAGTTAAAATAAAAGTTATTAATCATGAATATTTGCAAATTACCATACAATGTCGATTAAGTCGAAGGTACAAAGTACAGTTGAAAAACTGAAATTATAATCTTTAACGCAGCCCAGACATTTTCCTAAAATTATAATCTTCAAATGTTTTCACGGAACAGAAAAACAAAACAACGAAAAAGCTCTGACAAGTCAACTCAATTTAAAAAACCTACAACATAAACCTGAACTGGCAGGCTGTTGATCATCGAATTCTTCTACTCGGATATCTTCTGTTCGGAACGGTTTCCCAACAACCAGAGGATGACAGCTGGAACACTGCAAAAGTATTTCTGGCAACATTTTTTGTAATTCAAACTAGACTATCAACGAATTTTAAGCGTGTTTACTGAAATTCAATTCAGTTACTTTTATCTCTGAAAACTTTTGGAATCCAATACTTACTAATTCATATTTTTTTTAAACTTCATTCTGATTTCAAGTAATAAACTTACATAATACTTAAACTAATGTGATAGAAAAAAGTCTACTCAGATCATATAG